GCTGCTGCTGCTGCTGCTGCTGCTGCTGCTGCTGCTGCTGCTGCTGCTGCTATTACTACTGCTATTACTACGTACTGCTGCTGCTGCTACTGCTGCTACTACTAGTGCTGCTGCTACTACTACTACTACTGCTGCTGCTGCTACGGGATAAAATAATTGCAGGTATACATCACGCATGCACGCACACGCACGCACATACATGCGCGCACGGACGCAGACGACAGCGGCTGCGCTCTCGTCACGTGTCGGCGTGCTCGTCTGCGTTCATTATTCACCAAATCACCCCCTCTCCTCCGCCGCCGTCAGGAATCTCCCCCTCCCCCTCCGCCGCCGTCACGAATCTCCCCCTCCCCCTCCACCTCCGCCGCTGTCGCCGTTATAAACGCCCTTAATTGTTAGTTAGAGATTTACGGCCGTCGTAACGCGACCTGTATATATCCCGTAGTTAGTAATGAGCGGCAGGTCCTGGGATAACAACAGCTTCTATATATACTGAAACTGTGAAAAACGGCAGCCGCGGTTCCCGGCAAGATACCCCTTAACACCTGCAGACATATAGAGTAATTTATGTCATGATAATGGTCATAATTGTTTCTATATTGGTCAGTGTAAAGTCGCGAATATTTTAATATTTGGCGGCCATTTTGAAAAATATGAAATCGGTATTCATTTTATTTTGTTACGTAGGCGATCCTACTACCTACCGCTGAGCAAGATTTTGTTTTTAATGAAAAGTGTAGGCCTACATTTGTTCTTTCTCATATATTCTTCAAAATAGTAATCACTGTCTCGTTTTTTTTTTACTTTTGTTGATGGAAGGCTGACACGAAAGCCCATAGTAATAAACATGTCAACCTATGTGAGTGGGTGCACGAACGTGTGAGCATACACCCGGTATACGACCTATGTAAGTGGTTTACTTTACAACTAATACAAGGTTTATTCTGCTAATTTTGCGCGCTGAGTGGTCGTCGTGGAGGAAATGACGTCTCAGTACGGCATGTTGGGATATGCGATAACGACTTTTCTCTCGAATTACGATTCACGCGGTATCATCGAGAGAAACGTAACACATAATAATAAAAGATCTATTGTCACACGCATATTGCGCTTGAACTGCCTATATATAGGTAGTAAAGACGCGTTTACTAACACGATCGACAATACTAACATATAGTGTTACGTTGTGGAACGTTTCGTGAAAGATTTATTTGCTCTAGATTACATACACATGATTCCAACAGGTGACTTGGGGTGGGGTGGGGTGGGGGCTGTAGCCTTCCCATAATCTCCACCACCCCCGCCTAAAAAGACATCTCAATATTAATAATGAAAGATAGTGTCTTTCCCATGCAAGCGCAGCTTCAACAGAAGTCGCCCTAGTCCCTCTCTCACAATCACACTCCCACCCCCACCTAAGACCCTTCGCGTAATTCTGGTACCGCCTGCGGTTTCTTGCACCATAACAGAAACAGTTACCACCCCTCCCTCTCACCCCCTGAAATTACAATCCGGTCGTACCCCCCGCGCTGCCGCTCACCGCCGTCATTGTCGCCGAACACACAAGACTACTCGCGCGTGACATTTCTCTCTCAAAGCGCCGCCGACGACGAGAAAGATGCTACATTCGTCGGGCACGACATCAGAAATATCGACTCGCTCAAGTGCGTCCAAATTGACTCCCGTCGAAATGAAGCGATTAGGCCTTCCGTGTGGACTTCCATACGGAAACGCTCGCGCGCGAGAGAGAGAGGCGAAAAGCTCCCCCGATCGTTCTTTACGATTAGCACAGAGAGAGAGCGAGAGCGAGATAGATAGAGAAAGCGTGTGTGTCATGGCCCTGCCGACAACAATCCTTGCCCGTATTTGCCGCCGGCGGCGACGTCGCCAGGCCGTGTGATCACATCTAGCTGCCGACGCACGCGCGCATGACCGCTGCCGACGTCATCGTAATCATCCGACATTACAGCCTCTTGGAGTCTGCGTGGGGGGAGGGGGTGAAGCAATTTCAGGGTTCATAGTAGTAAGACACATGTTGAAATAAGGACTTTTCTGGAGGCCAAAATAAGACTTTTTTACGCGATTTCTGTACACTAATAATATTTATATACACAATTGCACAGCAGATTTAATTATTCCGTATTATATATACAACAATTCTTACTCTAAGTCGAGAACAGTTTATAAAACAATTTATATATAATATTGTAGGTTGCAAAAAATAATGACTATTAAGTACTTTTCTAAGATTTCACCAAAAATAAGTACTAATAAGGGCCCTTATTTTATGTTTGGCAAAATAAGTACTTATAAGACTTTGGAAGACCCGCTACGAACCCTGCATTTTCGGCGGCGCCCCGCGTCCCATATGCGCGGGGAAGAGGGGAGAAAACGAGGGAGAGAGTCGCGCACAATCACGCAAGGACGCATAAACGCGCACTCACGCGCAAGCACGCACGCACGCACGTATACGCGCACTCTCTCTCGCTTTCGTTCTCTCTCTCGCTCTCTCTCCCTTCCCCCCTCTCTCTCTCTCTCTTGCTCTCGCTCTCTTTCCCTCTCTTTCTCTCTCTCTCTCTCTCTCTCTCTCTCTTTCCGTAGGCGCGCTCTCTCTCCCTCTCTCTCCCCCCCTCTCCCTCTCTCTCTCTGTCTCTCTCTCTCTCTCTCTCTCTCTCTCTCTCTCTCTCTCTCTCTCTCTCTCTATCTCTCACTCTCTCACTCACCGCTACCACTACTACCACTACTACTACTACTGCTGCTGCTGCTGCTGTTGCTGCTTACTCTCTACTACTACTACTACTACTAATACTACTACTAGCTATACTACTTACTACTACTACTACTACTACCCTAACTACTACTGCTGCTGCTGTGCTGCTGCTGCTGCTGCTGCTACTAATTACTACTAATACTAACTACTACTACTACTACTACTATACTTACTACTACTACTACTACTACTACTAACTACTACTCGCAGGAGTAAGATAATGAATTGGATATATTATCTTACTCCTGTATCTACTACACTAGCTTTACTATGACTACTACTACTACTATACTACTACTACTACTAACTACTATACTACTACTATTATAACTGCTGCTGCTGCTGCTTCTGTTGCTGCTACTTACCGCTACTGCTGCGCTGCTGGCTGCTGCTGCGCTGCGCTGCTGCGCCTGCCTCATTACTACTGCTATTTACGATGCTGCCTGCTGGCTACGCTGCTTACTATAGTGCTGCGCTAACTACTACACTAACTGCTACTACTACTACACGCTGCTGCTGCCACGGGAAAAATAAATTGCAGGTATACATCACGCATGCACGCACACGCGACTGCCACATCCAATGCGCGCCGCAACGGACGCAGGACGACAGCGGGCGCGCTCGGTCGTCACGTGTCGCGTGTCGTCTGCTTTCATAATATTTCAC